CCAGTATCTTGACCTTTGACTTGGGTGTCCACTCCCCAGGGTTCTGCTACTTGCTCCATTTAGCTCTGTCCTTGGCTCTCCATCATTTTTTCCCCTTCTCTGGATTTGGGGTGAAAGGATAGGGGAAAGTAGATTTTGAGGTCCAACACATAGAAGGAGTAGAAGGAGGAATAATGGCCCTTTTTCTTGTAGGTTTATACCAATTTCTAAGACCAGAAAATTTTTCTAGTTTTAAGGTGCCCATGCCCTAGCTTTTTAAAACAGTGGAAATTGTAATAATTTCTCAACATGTTGAGAGTTGAGGATTGGAGCAGCAGAACATGGGGAGTGATCCTGCTTCTTGTGGTCAACTGAGAATACTGATTTGTGGGGTTGTTTGCCATCTTGTAGCTCCACCACCTAGAAAATGTAGCCTTCAAGATTTCTGAGGAAGAGAAAAAGTGTGGGGTGGAATGGATGGTGACACATGTGACACCTGTCACTTCTGTTTACATTTCATGAATAAAACACACCGACCCATATTCCTGCAAGGGGCTGGGAAGGGAGACCTTCCCTGTATTCAGGAAGGAGAGGAGAATTGGATGTGAGTGAGAACTAGTGGTTACTACCACAGCAAGCTTTAGATTTTAGGTTATTTTTAGTGTTTGTGTCTTCAGAGGCTGTGTACATTATGCATAGTTTCAACTTTGAAACTGTCCCCCATTTGAATGATTGCAAGTTGAATCAAATTCAAATATACCCTTAATCCAAGTCTACTATTAGGAAAAACAAACAAATGAAGTTTTGAATGTGAAATAAAACTGTATTGGGAGTTTTGTGAGTGTTCCAGTTTCATTTTCTTTTAAAGTTGTTCTTTGTGATAGCATGTTTATTCAATTCCTGAAGTGTTGTCAAGTAAGTAGTATTTAATCTGTGAAAATTTTCAAGTGGCCCCTTTTTCTCTCTCAAGGGTTTTTTTTTTTTTTTATTTTCTCAAGTGTTGCTGTAGTCATTTTAAGATTGAAATGAACCGTTTGATTTTAAAAAATTATTTATGGCACATCAAGTAGCACTTAGTGTTTTGTCACAACACTGAAACTGTTTCTGAAGCCTATGTAAAATATAGCAGAAAGGTCAGGAGGCTTATGTATAGAAACATACCTCACCATTGGAACTGGTTATAATTCCTGGGTGCTGACATCAAGATTAATAATATTTAACTCTGATTTTGGCAATTTTTGCCAATTTTATTGCCATGGTCCTTTTCTTTCAAGTTATTACCTGGAACTGAAGTGATAACAAATGTTTCATGCTTTATACTGCCAAATAAAAGGTTAAATTTTCATATGTTACATGCTCTTACACACGCGCGCGCGTGCACGCGCGCACACACACACACACACACACACACACATATTCATACAACTGGATGTGAAGGAAATGAGTAATTCTCCTAAAATGAAAAGATTGTCCTAGTTTTAACATTAGGTGACTAGTTCCCATGCGGTTAAGTCATATGTAAAAATTGGAAATTCAACCTATGGGTCTTTGTGCATTGACTATATCATACAGTTCTAATTTTCTTTTGTTTTTCTGGGAAATGATGGTGCTCTTTGCTTTGCCAAGTTTTATTATTGAGTCAGCTGCCAAAGTTTAAGAGAGAGTTAAGGCCCTTAAAATTATTTGGTGTTGAATGAAGAGGCATAGAAAGGTATTTCATATTCCCAAACATTTTAACTTTTATGTCTCTACCTGATGTTGGAATATAATCTAACCTTCAAGGCTTTTCTGATTCTTTATAAATGATGTACACTGTTGAGTGAAATCAGAATATTCGTGAGAGGGACCCAGTTTGGAAGTACATATTCTAATTTTTTTATAGACTGTATTCTTTCTTGCTTGATCTTCCCTGTATTTAAACTTCTGTGTGTCAGGAGGCCCGTGTGCCTGCTTGTGGTTTTGCACCATCTGGAAGTTAAAATATGATTTTAGAAATGATGTCATACTTGCTTACTGCAAACTGGGCTAATGTTGGTTGGGAATTGGATTCAGTTCAGGTCAAAGTTTTGTTTAAAAAAAAAATACCTTTAAACCTTGTTTCTTGATTCTAGGAGACTGAAAAGCTATGGGGATAGACTGGAGTGATTGAAGGTCATGATTCAAATTCCTTTGAAGCTAAATAAGTGCATTTGGGTGTATGGAAAATAAACTCCCCAACAGAAGACCTTAGCTGGCACAAACTCCTTCTTGCCATTTAGAATTTGGATGTTGCAAGCAGTGTGTTGAACATGGCCATCCTTGCTCTCTGTTTTACTCTTGGAAGAGAGAGATTCTTACAGCCAGGGTTTTGTCTCTTCTACACTCAGGAAGATGAGGCAGGGCACTGAAAGATCACACATGGCGAGAAGGCACAGTAAATTTTAAGCATATTATTCATCAGCGCAGTCTCTTTTTCTGAACTCTCCAGCACCCCTTACTGCTTCCCACTTTGTAATTTATTTACATCACAGTTTTGGATGTTGGAGATATCCTCTCCAGATATAGACCATCCATCTCTGATAGCTAGAATGTAGGGCTATAGGACCACAGTTTCTTCTCCAATTAACACTGAATCCTGGTCAGCCATTGGGAAATCTTTTCAATTGAATGTAACCCTTTATAGCCACTCCTGTAATTTGGAGTGCTCAACATGTCCTGCCAATTTCCAAAGAAGCCACCAAATGTCATCCTTTATGTATAAACTAAAAATCACATTTTTTTTTTTTCTTTGCTAGATAGGATGAAAACCCAAAGAGAAATATCGATGTTATTTTAGGTTGGTAGATGGAGATGACTTTAAACAAAGATAGGCCACTTGAGAATCTGAAGCTTTAGTGCAACTGGCATGAATTTTCTTTTGTCAAGGAAAGATCCCTAGGACATGAGTCCCTCACATCCCAGCTCCTAGATTTCCATGGCCTTTATGTAAGAAGAAGCACAACCATCAAATATTTAAGGAATCTGCTCTTTTTGCCCTGTGCAATCACAGAATGTCCATCCTGTCTCATAGTGTGGTCAGGGTCATTCTGCCAACAGGGCTTCAAGCACTTGTTTAAACCCTTCCTTTTTGGGGATCTCCCTTCTTCACCCACCTCTCTGGGATAAAAACTGGAGAAACTCTCTACTCACCAACCTCTCATCACCTTTGACCTTTAGAAACACAACTTTGGTGCTTCTTTCTTGGAAAGGGGTAAGAAAAGGAGATTCCATTCTGGTAACTTACAATCTTTAATGTCATAATTTTCCCTTGATCTTGCTAAGACTGATTCTGGCCTTTAAAATCATAAAATGTCAGACACTTAGGAGTTTTCCAACCTCTTTGTTTTATGGATGGGGAAAATAAGGCTGGAGGGCTGGTTGTGGGTGAAGTGAGAGTTATTTGTCCTGATTCTCAGCTAGATAGAAGGAGAATCTAGCCTAAAACCAAAATGTCCTCTTTCCAGTATTCCAAGTTGCCTTTTGACTCTGTGTCCTGACAGTATTTACATATCTATTTATTTTGGCTTATTATGGTATTTTTGCCTCATTTTTCCTTTTGTGTGTGTGTGTGTGTGTGTGTGTGTGTATGTGTGTGGGTTTTTTTTTTCCATCCAAATTTTAGTTGCTGGTAGTACAAAAACTACTCAACAAGATTTGTGATCAGGGGTGCCTGGGTCGCTCAGTCAGTTAAGCATCCAACTTTGGGCCAGGTTATGATCTCACAGTTTGCGGGTTCAAGCCCTGCGTTGGGCTCTGTGCTGTCAGCTCAGAGCCTGGAGCCTGTCTTCGGATTCTGTATCTCTCTCTCTCTCTCTCTGACCCTCCCCTGCTTGCGCTGTCTCTCTCTGACTCTCAAAAAATAAAAATAGAAACATAAAAAATATTTTAAAAAAAACACAAGATTTGTGATCAGATGCAGGAGACTCTCTACCCTATTTCTTCTTCCCCAAGACAACCTGTTTTTAACTCCTTTTGCCTGGTTATTTTGATATCTCTAAATAACATGCTTGCATCACTACTTGATTATTGATGTAACTACTGTCTATCAAATTCTTGGTATAGAGGGTGAGGATTAAATACTTCCAGGGGCATCTGGGGGGCCTCAGTCAGTTAAGCATCCGACTTTGGCTCAGGTCATGATGTCACAGTCCGTGGCTTTGGACCCCCATCAGGCTCTGTGGTGACAACTCAGAGCCTGGAGCCTGCTTCAGATTCTGTGTCTCCCTCTCTCTCTGCCCCTCCCTGCTCTCACTCTGTCTCTCTCAAAATAAAATAAAGACATAAGAAAATTTAAATTCTTCCATTACTTCAAAACCTAACCTTACCCATGTGAACCTTTTCTGCATATGGCCTTTGGAATGTTAAGTTTAAAAAATAAAGTGTATGATTTCTTATGTTTATTCCTGACATTTAAAAAGCAGGAACTGTAATAATCTAATTTTTGAGCTAAGGTTGAAATAGGTATTTTTTGGTATGCCTTGTTTTTTCTTTTATGTTTGGAAAGCAGTCTTTCATAACACTGGAGAGTGGTCATCTCCACAGCATTTCCTTCCTCTTGTCAACTTATATTTTCTACCTCAGGAGTGTTTCTCTATATGTTAGTCTTGTTCTTCCAGATGTCTGTGGCATGGCTCATTGTGTTCTCCATATTCCTGGAGGATGTCGGAGAACACAGGCAGTGTTGTGCCTTCCCTGTACAATGGAATAGTGATGTGTTTTGTTTTCTAGCTAATGGTTTCACATCAGGGAGACATACTACTATTTCATAATGCCTTATTTCATATAAACTTTATATTAAAAAAAAAGTGTCTCGGTTCAGATGTACATACAACAGGACTTTGAGGTAGATAGAGGCTGTTAAAATGCATGGGATTGAGGTGACCATGGGTAATGGTTTGACCAAGCTGTGCTGAGAAGACACACTGCTGCCCTCCTGGGGCCTGACTGATGGTTACTGATGACCACTCTATAACTGCAACCTTCTTTCTTTTTCCTGACTTCAGGTAGATGCACTGAGGTTACGGCTGGAAGAGAAAGAGTCTTTTCTCAATAAAAAAACAAAACAGCTGCAGGACCTCACAGAAGAGAAAGGGACACTGGCTGGAGAGATTCGAGATATGAAGGATATGTTAGAAGTGAAGGAAAGAAAAATCAATGTTCTTCAGAAGAAGGTAAGCAGCTGACATAAGCCCTTCAGGCTTATGTATCATCCATGTTTTGTCATTTCAGAGAACTTTTTGAGTACGTGGAAAAGAAGAAATTGTTTTTTAAGAGTTTTAGATTAGAAAGTATAAACTTTTTACATACTGGTACTTTAACTTACTGGTGGTTGTATCAAGCCATTCTTAGCATGGCCTGATGAATTTTCTATTTGAGTGCCTGAAAAATAAATAGTGATGATCCTTTTTATATTTTCCAGATTAAATATGGATAATTGTGCAAATTTAGATATATGTCTAGAATAATAAAAAGTCTGAAAAATTAGTTAATTTTTTCTTTTTCCTCACCAAGAGTTGAACAGTGTATTCTGTGGGTCTTAAAAGTATTTTAGATGCATTTTTTTATTTATGTAAATTTTAATAGCTTTTACCTTACTGAACCCATACAGATTGGGGGGGGGTAATGTTTGCACCTATTACTTAATTGGAATTGGTGAGAGAACATAGAATAAGTTCTGAGTACAGTGAGCTAACACAGAAGATGCTTGATCTAGCTAGGACCGTTCTTTCCTGTTTTACCTTGAGCAGCTCATTTTCTCCATTGTAGGGATCCAGATTTGGGGAATGCACCTTGATTTTTTTAAAATCTCATTTGCTACTGTGTACAGTTTTGGGAACATAGGGTCCCCTACAGTCCCCTAAAGAATAGGCAAGAAGAGAAACCAACCACCTGATTTTTAAAGAAAAGAACATGTATTGGAAAGGCATAGGGCTGTCAGGTTAATAGGCAGCCAGCATGGAAACTGGGCAGGAACTGATGGTGGGTAGCATGAGCCAGCTGGCCAGGACACTGCTGCAGACAGGCATATTGCTGGGCAACCATGCTGCAACTGCAGACAAATGGACTCTAACTGGCCCCTCCTCCCGGTGTCATTTGCCACTATCATCTCTCACCTTGTTTATATCAACAGCATCCTAGCTTTTTTTACTGCTTCCACCCTTACCTTTCCTATAGGCTGTTCTTAACACAAAACCTAGAGTAGTCCTTTTAAAACATGAAACAATTTATATCACTCTGATCAAAAATCTCAAGTCGCAGCCACCTACATAATTTGTGCAAAATGAAAATTGTTCAAAGAGAATTTCTGAATGAGCATAAAACCAAACCTGGGGCCCTTCTCAGCAATGGGGCACCATGCAGCTACACAAGTCACAGGCCCGTGAAGCCACTTCTATCCCCTCTGGCTTCCATCCTCACTCTCAAGGTACTGGTGATCTGATGGATTATATTATTAATTCATTTCTGTCAAGATCTTTACAGACAAGGCCCAGGTGACTTGATCTCTCCTTTGTAGCTCCAGCTAATTGATACAGATGTTTAGAAGAGATCTTGGAAGACATGACCAAGGACCGTTGAATCAATTGGGCTCTTGAGGGCAGATGGAATTAGCAGAGACACAGAGTGGCAGTTCTTAGAGCAGGTACTAAGGATTCAAAAGAAAACTTTTGGTTTAAAATTCCCAGGAGTGAATGATGATGAAAGCTAACATTTATTAAACTTACATTGAACACTTTATGCTGGATATTTTGCTATGCTTGTTATGTGCCCTATTTACTTACTCTTGACCATAATCCTGTGAGACAGGTATAGTTGTTAACCTAGGAAACTGAAGGACACTGAAGCTTATGGTAGGTAGGTTTGCCCAAGGTCATGCAACCTAGATACAATTTTTTTGCTTTTTGTTTTTTGTCTTTGGGAAAGTTGAATAAAATGGTTAGTGCAAATTAAAAGAATAAGCTTCATTTTCCTATGGACCTCAAGTTTTAGGAGGATGACACCAGGTGTCAATCAAAGAAGAACATCACAATTGCTTGTTGTACCTGGAGTTGAGAATAAATGCTCTTATTCTTGAGGAATAAATGGCATTAATATTCTGAATAAAGATTTTGGGAAGGTACTTTCGATGCATAAGTGAGAAATGACATTTGCTAGAGTGCACATTTTGCAAAATTTTATACTTTGCTCCATAAGCCAGAATCAAAGGTTTGGGAACTAGTTTGGAAGTTCTTGAACAAAGCCAGTTGTATATTATGGCTCCTTTGGGCAACATGATCATAATCCAACTTATTTAAACCATGTAGATGATGGATTAGGAAATATTTCATGTGTATTGGGAGAGATTCTTCAGCTTCACTTTTTTTTCACTTCATGTTTACCAGTACATTTGGGGAAGAAATGACACCAATGGTAACATAGAGAAGGGGCAGAAATTCTATTATACTTGCAATGTGAAGGACAAATAATCCCCAAAGAAGTAATGCACACAATTCAGAAAACTAGTCAAAATGTGGAAATAATACAGAAGCTAATGGGCCCATGAAACATTGTCTTTGGGACTGGAGACTCCTTAGAGTTTTGACCACATTTAGCCTAATTGGCTGTTTTAGGGCAGGCCTAGATTGTAACAGCATAAGCTTTGGATTAGGCTGTATTGGCATGGAAGAAATAATAAACTTATGGCAATGTCAGACATGTACTATTACTTAATATTTCTTTCTTATAGGCTCTTTGGCAGCCAGCACTGTGTTTTGATGCCAATAGAAATGGGTATGCTCCTTTCATAGCCATGTTTAACCTGGCAAAGCTAGGCTTGCACCTCGTATCTGTCAGCCTTGCCTTCAGAGCCCTGAGTCTCAGAAATCTTGTGTCCACCATAAGCCATGTGAACAGGTCACGTGTCTGGGCAGCAGGCATGGACACAATGCCCTAAGCATTTTGTTACTTGAGGAAGGAAGTGAAGTTGAATACACAGAGAACCCCAGGTGACAGAATATCTCTGAGCAAGCTTTTGTAGGAAAACAGCGGTCATCGAGTATAGATTTTGGTTCTACTACCATTTGGCTCTATCCATAATTCCGAGATATGGAGTTCTTTTAGTAGGGGACAAAAATGTGCATATATGAAAATTGTTCAGTGGAGCATCCCCTTATGGCTGTGACACTGAAGTCAGAGAAACAGTACACTTTTCAAGCTGCAGACTTAACATTCTGTTCTCATACCTGAATTCAGACTTCAGCTGATGAAGTGCTACCTGACTATTGAGTTTTTGTAGGAAATGTCATAAAACCTTGATGACATTGTACATTTGGAAAGTGTATAATGTCCAGGATTTTGGGACATGGTAGCATTATTTGACCCGGATCAAATTCAGACTGTATGTAGCTCATGCAACATAAACTTACTACCCAAGAAATTTTTAAAAAGCCATTAAATTGGACAAAAGTTCTATCTCCATTTTCATTTTAGGGCTCAGTCCCACTTTATAGAGCAGAGGTACTTTATTTATTAGTGGTAGAAAAACAGATGGTAATTTCTCTGGAAGCCAAGTTCACTAGCTACCTACTGGACTTCATGGATTGCCCTGTGTATTAGAAAGGGCAGGGAGATGTGAGTGGAATTGGGTTCTAGGTGTGGCATCTATGGACCTGGGTACTTGAGCAGCCTTATTCTACCAATTTGGAAGTTTGAAGGTGAAAACCCTGAATTACGATAAGCTCAGAGGTCAGGACCCTATAGGACTATAGTTATTAGCATACTGGGTTTCTTCATGAAGTTTATTAAAAAAACAAAGTACCTGAGAAGATGATTATAAAACATGGATATTTCCATGTTGTTGTAAAATTGATGTAAGGTACGGAGGACTTTTTGACTCAACTGAACTCTTGCTTGCTGTTCAAACATCTAGTTGCACTTTTATATTTATTATTAGCAGACTTCCTGTTTTTGAACATATACAAAATCATATTATTTTTGCATTTACTGAGTGTTTCCTATGTGTCAGTCAGTCACTGCTCTAGGTCCTGGAGGCTCAAAGGGATATAATACATTCTCCAGGCCTCAGGAAGCTGACAGTCTGGTTGGGGAGATAAGACATGCATAATCCTAAATGTAAGTACAGTGGAGTGCAGCATGGCATATTATCAGAAGCAAACTACTTGATGAATGCAAATGGCAGAAGCTAATTCTGGCTACCTTGAACAAAAAGGAGTTTATGGCAAGGCTATCCAGAGCCCTAATATCTGGCCAGTAGGACAAGATTAAAAATGATCAAAAGTCAGGACAGCTGTAGGAGACCAAGAGAAAGGAGAGAGTGCCATGATCTCATAACCAGGAGTGTCTGGTCAGACGTCTTCTATGTTGATTGTGTCCCTCTCCCCCTCCTCCCTCTTCCCTTACATCACACCATTGGTAGACATTAAAGTCCTGGGGCAGTGCTCCAGATTTCACACAGATGCCTCTCATTGGTAGGATCTAACCAGACCTGCCCTAAAAGGAATCTGGGAAATGTGGTTCCAAGCTTTACACCTGAGATTTCCACTCAATTCTTGTGTCACTTACTCAGGGAAGTCTTTGCTAACATTGCAGGCTGGGAGAGGTTTTGCACTTTAAAACGACCATTTCTTGGCTCAGTTTGAAATTCTGTATCCCTTTAGTGAGTGTTGGCTTCCCTCCCAGGGCTAATCTCCTTGAGTGCCCCAACTCTGATCATCAAGATACTTCCAGCTTTTTGCAGAATTCTTGGCAGGTGATGGTCCTCAATCAATATTCACTAGGCGAATAAATTATATCAGCAAATTTTGAATGAATGAGAACTTAGGAGAACAGAAATTACTTAGAGATCCACTTCTGGCCCAAGAATATTGTTAGCTGTTAGGAGTCTTTTGCCCCAGTGAAATGTCAGACTCACTCATTGTTCCCAGGACAGTGTTCGGTGTAGGCTGCAAGATGGAACCATCCCATGGATAATAAAACAGGATGAGGAAATGACTCTACCCATATCTAACACCTTAAGCCTTGGTTCCATTACCTTGACAAGGTAAAAAAAGGATTAAGTCTTGAGTAAGGGCACTTAGCTACTCTTGCTTCATTTTCCTTTTTAATAAAAAGATTATGTGGCATTTATCAAGTATAGTGTCTTGTTCTGCAAAGAGAATAATGCTTCTTCCTCTAG